TAATAATAGTAATAATAAGGTTATTACTAGAGTGTAACTTATTTAATTAATAAAGGATTTAATAAGGAGGCTTGTCTATAGTACTTAGTAATATTAAGATTAATAGCGCGAAAATATTTTTATAGTTGAGTATTAGTTAACTCTAAATTAAAATTAATAGTCCTTTTATAAGCATTATAATATATAATTAAAAATAATTTATATTACTTATTAAGGTCTTCTTATTATTTATAATCTATATTATATAAAGGGGCTTTAATATATTAGATATATTCTTATACTAATTATACCTTACTAACTTATAAGTATAGGCCAGAATAATAATCTAATAATAATAAATTAATTAGCTTAATATATTATTATACTAATCTTCTTTTTACTAGATATTCTTACTTTTATTCTATATTGTAATAGCATAATATAATAAGATAGCAATCTGCGTCCTTATAATTAAGATTAGATATTAAATAAGTATAATATAAAGCTTTAGTATTTATTAATTAATTTCTTATCTTAGCTGCCTAATCTGTTCTTTATATTCTAGATTATTAGAGGTTTCTAAAGAGATACTCTTACTAAAGTTATTATCTTTCTGATTTAATATTAATTAGGCTTTAGATAATAGGAAATCTATATAAGCCTTTATAAGGGCCTTTAGCTTAAATAAATTATAATTAAAATAGTTATTAATTATATAATAGAAATAATAAATTAACTTAGTAAAGGTTAAAATATAATGTGATAGACTATATTCTTCTTAGAGGTACTTAAGTAGATCTTAGCTTAAGGTTCTAGGTTAGAATATATTAAGATATTAGGCATTAATATAATATAAATCTGTAATTAAAGCAGATGTAGCTTAAAGAACCCTCTTAACTACTTTACTAATATAATATAGAAATATATTATTAGCTTTAGACTTAAGGACACTATATAAAGATGTGATTAAGTTAATATTAATTTTACTAAGATGTTTATAATATTTATAAAGCTATAGTTATAGAGATAATTCAAAAATATATACTAGCTTCTTAATTTAATAGTACTTATCTTTAAAAGTCTCTTAACTAGACTAGAACTATTTACTTAAAAGATTATTAGTAGACTTAATTAGATCTAAAACTCTAATTATTCTTAAGTAATCTGATAAAGGCAAAGTAGAGATGGCCAAAAAAGAGATTAATAGAAGTAATTACTATTTTAATATAGGATTAATAATAAAATATTCTTAAGACTTAGCGAATAATGTCTGTATTTAAATCTTAAAGGATATATTATCTTCTTACTATTATTATTTATAATTTAGATTATGCTCTAAACTATTATGTCTAAAGATGATTTACTTACTTTAAGTTAAGAATATATAATTATCTATATTACACTTTTATCTATTTAGAATTGCTAGGCTAGAAACAGGCGCCTAATAATGTAATAGCTATATGACCCGCTTAGAAATATGCTGCGCTTTAACTTATTCTTAAATACGCTTTTTAAGTTAGCCTTTGACCTTATAAGCATATTTAAGATGCTTACTATAGTTCTGAAGAGTATATTCTGAGCAGTGCTTAGTACAGAGAAGTACTCAAAGGTTAGTATGTGCCCGCAGGTAAGTGACTAGTGATATTATAACGTGCGCGTTAATTACTAAAGCTGAAGAGCTTAAAATTAGAGAAGAGGTAAAAGACATTATGTGAATAAATCTTTAATCAAGTATAATAGATTTGATATACTTGTAAGTATGTAATTGACAAAGTCACCTCTTCAGAGAATTTAGTGTATAATAGTCACCTATGTAATAGTTATCTGCACTAGCACTTTTGAATGCTAAGACTGTTAATTTATATATATAAGGGTTACCCTTACACAGCTTTATAATATTAGGAACTATTTTAGCTTTCTAAAAGACTTTATTTTAAAATATTTAAATAGAGTAGCCTTAAAAGCCTTATACTTATTAGAATTCTACTTTATATATAGTAAAATAATATTATTAATATAAAAAAAGAAAATAAGATATTTATTTATATAAAAGTAATTAACTCTAAGTATTAAATAAAATTCTAATTCTTTTAAAGCTTTTGTAAAATACTTATATTATAAAAATAATAATTACTTTAAGCTATATAATGCTTTTTGTAGCTTTTAAATATATTTAACTTTTATAAAACCTTTAAAGTAATAATAATAAATTTCATTTTTAAGAAAGTTATTAATAAAGGTATTAATAGCATTATATTATATTATATTTAGATTAAATATAATAGCTATTATTATAAGAGCTTTAAGAGTTCTTATAATAAGTATAGCAGTATATATATCCTGCTTAGTTATCTAGAGATCTCCTTATATAGATAGGCGTGCTTTAAGCTTCTTTAAATATTTATTAGTATTAAATTTATACTTAAATACTTAGGTTAAGGGCAGTATCTCCTTTTATATATCCTTTAAAATAACCTTATATGTCCCTTTCTTTGCTAGTTTACTAATCTTCTTCTTTATAACATTTCTGAATTCATTAGCGAATTAATGCTTTATTATTTGCTTTTATAAACAAGGTTTAAGCAGCAGAGAGTCATAATAGAGTTGCTCCTTAGAGCTGCTTAGGCCGACAGAAAAGGCAAAATAGTACGCAGAAAGATTAGATAGATACGTTAGCGCTGTGGCATAGGCCTCTTAGCGTTTGGCGCCTCTTATACAACTTGATAGAATATTCTGTACGTTAAAATTAGCAGAAATTTCGCCTGCGCGAGTTATCTGCAAGTCAATTACTTGTATACTAGTTTTAGTTATACACTCTTCAAAATTTCGTTTAAGCGTTGTTTCTAGCATTAGATAGTATTAGAGTTCCTCCTCCTCTTACTTAGTATTATTAACGCTATCTATAACTTTAATAGTATCTTCTTCTTCATCTCTAAGAGCGTCAGAAAGCTAAGAAGACTTAGGATTATTAATATCATTATTTATTAGAGTTCTTAAAGCTGTATAGCTTAGTTCTAACATCTTAATAATCTTAATAATATCCTTAATTTCTGTAATTAAGAGATAACTAGAATCTAGCTCTTTTAGATTATAAAATAGGCCTTTATTAAATATAATATTCCTTATTTATATAACTTTGCCTTAGCTTAGTATCTATATTTAATAGATATTTATAAAATCATACCTTACTAAGTATCCTATTAGGGCCCTTAGTTCAAGCTTATAAAAGTGTAAGATGTTCTTTTAAAGAGGATAAGCTCTATAGTTATATAAGTAAAGATGAGATAGCTATAGACACTTCTTTAGAATAGCTTTTAAAGGCGTCTTTTACTTAAGGCCTCCCTTTAACATATAATTATTAAGATAGCCTACTGTTTTAAATACTTCTAGCCATAACTTATCTAGCAATTTTACTTTTATTTACAGAGTATAAGTATACAGAATTAATACCTTCTTAGCTTTCTTTATATTACTATTCTATATAACAGTATAAGGAGCAAAGCACTTTATAGTAATTCTGTACTTCTTTATAACTTTAATATAGGCTTTTCTAAGCGTTTGCTCTTTATTAGTTTATATAAAGCGCATAATAGCACTATATTTTGTTTTAGTTATCTTAAGAAACTTCTTAATAACCTTTATAACATAATTCTTTTTTAAATAAGTATAAACAAAGTTTATATTTATTATAAAGCAAGAGAAATAACTTACTTACTTATCTTTATTAAATATAAGTATTATAGCTATTAAGTTATATCCTATTTAAGAGAGAGGCTTTATAGTAGGCTCCTCTTAATCTATATGCCTTAATACTAACTTATACGCCTTTGTTAATAAACAGGTTTTATAATTAGTAATAGAAGGAGCTCTATTTATAAATTTTGCTCCTTTCACACTTTATTTAAGATGAGTAATAGATTTTAGCCTTATATAAGCAAGAATCTTGTATTATTTAGTTGCTATTACCTTTATAAGGGCCTTTAGGGCTCTAGAAGGCTTATTTAAAGCAAATATAGCTTTAGAATTATCTAGAGGCTTAAGAGATCTATATTTAAGGACCTAGTAGTTATTTATAGATTAGGTATAGCAGAAAGTTTGCCTATTTTGATAGAGACGCTTATTCTCTATATTTTAGTAGACGCCCTTTTTTATAAATTATTATAAGTATACTAGATTTGTTAGAAAACCTAGCATTAATACTATGTTTAAAAGCTTAATAAAAGTTAAGTTATTCAGAGTTTTAATAATTATTTTAATATATCTAAACACTTTAATAATATATATTATTTTACTAGCTATTAGTATGTCTTCTTTAGTAATTATATACTTAAATTTAAAGTATATATAATTATTATAAACATATATATTAGTACTAAAATTAAGTGTCTAATAGTTCTTAAGCTTATATAAGAAGGATTTAATAGCAAAAGCACTTATAATTATAATAAGCTTTTCTATTAATTTCTTTTTTTTTTATTATTCTTCTTTTATTTTTTTGCCTGCTTCTAGGCTTTTTTTATTATAGCTTTAAGCTTTAATATCTTTTTTAGCTTTTTATTAATCTTTTATTAGATTCTTATATCTAGAGTTTATAAGAATATTCTAAGAGATTTTATAAGATAAGAGCACTCCTTAAATAAGTACTCTTCTCTATAAAGATATTTCTACTTCTTCTTTTCTTTATCCTCTAAGCTTCCTTAGAACGTAGTAAATGCTATATAAGAGAAGCCCTTATTTAAGAAGGCCTTTAAGATTTGTATATAGTTTTGATAGTTCTCTAGCATATCTAGAACTATTAGCAGATCCTCTTTATAATGAATTCGCTCCTCTATAATAGCTTCTTGACTAGCTACAAATACTATATCTATAAGCCTCAGGGCGTTTAAGAAGTCGTACAAAAGACGCTCCTTCTAAACGTCTAAGAGAGAGAGCTGCTTAGCCTCTGTGTATACTCTCTCTTACTGTAAGAGCCATTTGTTGATCTGCTAGTACTTTAGTGCCCTTTAAAGATCTCTATAACGTTAAATAACGTCTATTTCACATGCCTTATCTGTTAGAGCAAGCCTCTTCTCCAGAGCAGTAAGCATCTGATACACAGATTCCTTGCCCTCAAGGACGAGAAGATGCTGTCGATCTACTCGAGTTAGTATGAAGTCCTGAATGCTACTCAGAGCACTCCGACGATCTCTATATTTCATCATATCATACTTATAATCCTCTCGAAGGACACCGTACAACTTCTGCTCTCCAGGGTCAAGCCCTGTGATGGCAGCAGCGCCTGACTTAACGTCTGCAGCAGTTGGCCTCCTTGGTTCAATCAGTTGAGGAGGTTCTGCTGCCAGGTTAGGGTCAATCAGGTCCTTAACATCTCCATTTCGGGCCATGGTATAGATAATCAGCATCCATTCATCCCAATCCTCTGGTTTAGAAAGGATAATGCTGACTTTCGTCAAGGAAGAGGTGGAGGAAGTCATCTTGATGTCGGATATCAAGAATCTCAAACAGGTAATCAGATATAGACAAAAAAAGGGCACAAATGAGTCACAACTTGTACGTCTCAGGAGGCAACCGGGCTCATAACTGTCGAACGTTGCTGACTAATCAGGAGAATAGAATCTGAATAGCAAGTTGTTCTATCTAATTGACCGCGCAAGGAGAGCCTATTTATACATACCAAATTGCTATATCAAACTACCAGTCCATGCGAAATAGCGCGAAACGTCAATACTAAAAATACATGTCAATTCGAGGCGAAATGCGTAACAAATCTGTGATAAAACGCATTCAAAACGTCGCACAATACGCCACCGTTTGAGCCACCGTTTAATAACCAGCAAAATTCATCGAAGACGCGCAGAATCCAGTAGCGTTTGTTGCAGCGCTATATATCACGTGACATCCGGTCCACATATCTCTATTGTTGTACTGTTCACCTTGACAATGTATCAAAAAATTTGGTGTAGAACGGTCAACATGGAACAGTCAACAGCGCTAGCAGTTTGGCATGCCAAGACTTGTGCTTTGTATGTGGAATGGTCACTATTCCAGAGCATTATAATGTTAGGACCCAGCTTCTAGTTGAGACTTGTCTTAACCAGTTGAGCCCTAACAACATAAATGTTATAATAATATAAGCTTTATAGTAATATGAGTGTTATAGTAATATGAGCGTTATAGTGATGTAAGTGTTATAGTGATGTAAATGTTTACAGTGATGTAAATGTTTACAGTGATGTAAGTGTTATAGTGATGTGAGTGTTACAGTGATGTGAGCGTTATAGTGGCAGCTACGCGCTGCGCGCGGGGCTTACAGTGGGTGCAAACCCCTGTAAGTGGGTCCTGGAGTGATCCACTCATTGGGCCACGGCTAGAAGGCGAAAGGCTCCTAGCACAAATGGAAAGCGTTCCTAAGATCATGAGTTCGGTTCCTCGGAGCGATGAAGAGGTCCACTAATCAGCTCGAAGGCTCGAACCGGTCGATCGGTTCCTAGGAGCAATCCTGGGAAGCGAAAAAGACTCCTAGGAGCAATGGAAAGCTGTTTCTAGGATCATGGGGGCTGGTTCCTAGGAGCGATGACAAATGGATGGCGTTCCTAGGATCATGGGATCGGTTCCTCGGAGCGATGAAGAGGTCCACTAATCAGCTCGAAGGCTTGAACTGGTCGATAGGTTTCCCTAGGACCCATGGGAGCTGTGAGATGGCAAATCCATTCCCTCTAAGGTCGTCGGGTGTATCATTAGTACCGTCGATCTCTGTACATGTGGTGTTGCAAAAAATTCGTCATATCAAGGTCATTTATTACTTTTTTCAACCAAAGCTTTCACAAGATTGGGTCTATTGATATCTGAAAGACTCATCTCTTTTACATCAGCATGTGATGAGATCATACTGTGACAATATTGTCAGATTACCTTATTAGAGCTACGTGTGCAATATACGCTAATTGTACCACACCCGACCTCGGAAGGGGCTCTCCACAATCTGCCAACACTTCATTAAGAACATTAAGATTTATCTTACACCTGCGTTTATGATTATGTTTTGGGTCCTCGCCGCGGTGCCATTCTTTCTTTTCCTGTTCTCTGGCTCGGCACTTTCGCAATCGACCCCAAATCGTTCCATAGAATGGTTTCCTTGCACCCTCGATATTGAAGGCACGCCCTCGACTTGCGGAACCCTAGCAGTGCCACTAGATTATACAGAGCAGGGCTCTGAAAGACTCCTTAATCTGTCGCTTATCAAGGTGAACGCGACCAAAGAACCTTTCAAAGGTAGTGTTATGTTCAATCCAGGCGGACCAGGCTATCCCGTGCGATCTATCCTTGCTGGTAGGAGTGGGGAGTTTTTCCTTAAGTGAGGCAGTTCTTAGACGATCTTATCCCTTGAGACGTGCTGATAATGATGCAGTGGAACTGGAGGGAACTTCGATCTGATCTCTTTCGACCCTCGGTGAGTCTCATTTACCAGAAAGGAAAAAGCTTGCTGATACTAGTCAGGGGTACCGGCGACACTATTCCATATAGTTGTTATGACAGTTCTGTCGACCTGCAAAATATTCTACTTCTAACCCCTTTGTCGTCGCTTTCGTCTGATACAGCAGTGGGAACGGCCTGGGCATATAAGAGAACCTTAGCCGAAACTTGTTATGAGAACAGAAAGGATATTGGTGATCTAATCGGCACTGCATTTGTTGCTAGGGATATGATGCAGATCGTGGACGCGTTAGGCGAAGATGGAATGCTTCGATACTGGGGTGAGTTTTGCATACGCACAATATCTTCGAATATAATTAAGCCTCTATACAGGATTCTCCTATGGATCAGTTTTGGGTGCAACTGTAGCAGCTATGTTCCCGGATCGAATGGACAAGGTAGTCTTAGATGGAGTGCTGAATCTACATCAATACTATGCCGGACGGTACGCTTGATTCTTATATATTAAATTTAATACTAACACAGTTATTATTTTAGAGATGTCGAACAACTTATAGCAGCAGATGAGTCTTTTAATGGCTTTATTGAAGCTTGTGTCTCATCACCAGAGACATGTATTCTGGCTCGCGAAGGTATCACTGCCCAGACCCTCTCTACTGAGATCAATCAGTTACTAGAGACCATCAAGTATAGACCTCTTGGTCTTGGGAGCAACAATACCAACGATGTTGTTGAATATGACTTGACAGAAGGACTTATTATCAACGGTCTGCGAACCCCTTCAACCAGCTGGCCAGCTCTTGCGGGATATTTTGATGCAATCCTGAAAAGAAACCTGACCGCCTATCACGAATTTCGTGATACACTGCTCGGGGGAAGTATTTCGGCCGCATTTGCAGTTGATGCGAATCCTGGAATTCGATGTAGTGATGTTTCTTTGCGAACTGATAATTTGACTGGTCTTCTCCCGCTTATTGAAGAGTTTCAAAACACAAGTCGATTTGGCGGTGGTATATTGGCTGTTGCTCAACCTATCACGTGCGCACAATGGAGATTCCAAGCAAAGGAGCGATATGAAGGTGACTTTCAAGTACAGACGAAGAATCCGATATTACTTGTGGGAAGTCCATTCGACCATATTACACCATTGGCATCTGCACAAAACGTAAGCGCAGATTTCGAAGGAAGTGTAGTACTTCAACATAATGGATACGGGGTGTGTACATCTGACTATAAGCTGACAATACTGACAAAAATATTGTAGCACTGCTCTATTGGCCAGCCTTCACTTTGCACATACAAAGCAATCCGAGAATACTTTATTAATGGAACGCTGCCAGACACAGGAACCCAGTGTGATCCTGATGTTACAGACTTTGGCAAATCGTCATCGACCTTGAGTAAGAGAGCCGCACAAGATAGCGAAGATGCAGTGCTTCTCAATGCAGCTCTCTCTGTGAGTCAAGACCTGCTCCAAAGATTTAGGCTCTTCTGAGCAGATGTCATATGAGAAGCTTTGTCGAGAGGAAATATAGCAATTTTCTCAATATGCATCATGTCCTGGGAAGAGCATTACTGAGATACTAACTAGCGGAAAATGCGGTCCTTTTTATAATACATTCTTTTCGATAACATTAACGCATATGATGAGCTTTTGACCCTAAATCCAAGTGCATACGAAGTGGAGAAATAGTGTCAGAATGTAATTGATAAAGTGAATAAAATAGAATTCTATTTACCTGTAGAATCTATCCCTAGAAGAAGGAAAAGCTAATACTACTGCGCAGAGTACGATCACGTGATACCAAAGATTTGGCTATACATGTACGGCCAATTCCAACACTCCCTTATTAGTCGTGCATGTCTTTTATAAAGATAGAACTGCCAGAAAACGCTCAAATAAGCAATTAAATTACTAAAAACAGATATTCTAGATATTAATGTTATGCAAGTTAAGTAATTAAATCTAGCGCTCAAACTTAACATATTAAAGGCCTTTGTAAGTCTGTCTGCAACTATAACTATAATTAAAATATAATTAAAAGAAACTATATCATCTATAGCCTTCTCGCATATGTAATAATACTAAATATTAATATGCTTTATATAAGTAAAATGTTAGTAATGATAATAATAATAATATAACTAACTATATTTTTTTATTATTAATATAAAACTTTTTTTAATCTAGAAATAATAGATCTGTTATCTCGCTTTAATATTTACACTTAATAATAGTTTATCCTGCCCTCTAGGATGCTTCAAAGCATACGTGGGTCAATCACTACGGAGTCGCTGCGCATCACTTCCACTCCACCCATCTTACTCTCAAGAATTTAAACCCTCCCCTTTCGCTAGAAGTCAAATGGCTGATAGGTGGTAAAATTCCTGCACCTGTCACCGTTTGGGCTGTCTGTCCGCTGAACACTACCTTTGCAGGAGACTACGATCTCAACTCAGTCCTTGTTGGTCATACACAATCAGTCTGTTATCATTGACTGCTCTGGCCCGCACTTCTCCCCACGATTCCAACTTTGAAGTGAGCTCTTCTCTACACCTAATCGCAGGTCTGTCACTTTGACAGTTATGTCTCCTTGCCGCAGAATAACCAGAAGCCATACAAACATCAGCAGAAAGATACCGTATTGTCAGAAGATCCATATAGAATGTCAGCAAGGTTTGAGTGCTAGGAGTCAACCAGAGGAGGTATTATAAGACGAATTGTGCTCTGAGGAGGAGATTGCTTGTAGAGCAGATGGGCACGGAATAGTAGAACATGTTCTGGGCCTCTGGCCTTTCAGGCGGCCACGCGCAAGAGTCGAAGATTTTTTTTGAAGGGCTGGTGAGACTGCGCAGGGTGTCCGCAATAGCAGACCTGTCTAAGTGATAATGACAGAAGCAATTTCCTACAGGTGTACCAACTTCACCTGATGTGATCTTGAGGAGCTTGCTACTGCGGGAGTGAAAAGTGTTATGCCGCAGATCCAGAGTAGTTCTCTTCTCAAGAGTGGCACCTATCGCCCGTGGGCCGACGCGAAGACTGCTTAAGAGGTACTCAAAGCTTGACCTCCGTGTATTCTGCTTGCTCCATCCCAATACAATAACCATGTTATGACAGATTCTGGTTTGCCGCAAAGAATGGGATCAAGGACTGCACGATCATCTGCGCCCACCCCTCGACGATGAGAAACCGGATAGAGGACGTGGGCTCAGAGAATGAAGTTTCTGGATGATGCTCGCATCACGGTCGAACCTGTCAAGATCAGCAACGTAACGCCCGGGGGTCATGAAAGAGGGAATCATCTTGGCTTCATCAAGGGTTGCCCCATTGAATACTGACTTCCTGCACCACGCGAAGGTGTGATTCCATCGCAGGACTACCAGGGCAGGAGTACTACTTCCTGTTGCTACTCCCCTGGTGCTCTTCATTCATCACGCCAGGCGAACCTCACAGCTCTGGTGAAGAGTCTTTGGCTCTAGCTCGCTTTCGCGGCTGAGCGCCTTCATCATCATCGTCATCCTCCTCGTCCTCGGCATTCGAGCGCCTTCGCCCGCATGAGGCTGGCGTGGTTGACGCTGTCAGGTCCATGTAGCTAACCTCGCCCTCGTCCGAAACGAACGACGCGGTGTTTCCCTTGTCATTTTGACGAAGTACTTCCTGTCGAGGTACCGCGGGACGTGAGTTGCGCCACTTCTGAATGGAGCCAAGCACATTCCTCCGGGCTCGATCAGCTACCACAAGGCCAGAGACTTTCGTCATCATGTCCTTTGCCTTGGCTTGCACTTCTGCCTCTAACGCCTCGACGTTTTGCTTCAGCTTCGGAAGCGCAACCGCGGCATCGATAGCAGCGCTAAAAGCTTGACGCTTTTGCCTGTCCACATCCCAGCTCAAGTCGAAGATGTTCAGACCGGCCAGTGTTTGGAAGTTTTGGTCAAAGAGCTTTGGTGGCAATTGCGCAAAATTCTTCTACTGGCCTCCACCATGCTGGACATTGAGCCCGCAATCTGTGTAGAGTGATCTTGCAAGGAGTGTCATTTCCATCTCGGACAGTGACTGATCACCAGCTTCCAAGATACGATGCAATTGGAAGGCCTTGAGCTCGAAGACCCAGGAAAACGCATTTGCACAACTGATATAACCAGGCCGAACAGGTAGTTCGACCCAGTAAGCGACTGATGATCGAATGCTCTTTTCTTGCACCTTTTGCCAATGCCAACCTCATAGAGACATCTTCGCAAGGGCTGGTCGGGCAAGTGTTTCTCAGCAGGGGTGATTTTGCTTCTTTACAGCATCAATCCACTCTGTGATTATTTGCACTGACCGGGGCTTGTCAACGAATCGACGTTTCGTGGTGGCGCCTCTTTTGGCTCCATCATCTCCCACGGTACTGTCAATTTGTGTTGCAAGCGCACTTGTGGTTGAGTCTCCAAAACGCACGCACGCACGCTCCACATTCTTGCAAGACAACCTTCAACTCCGGCACAGACATGCTGTATCCTGGCCATTGTGACTTGCTCGAACCGTCGGGTCCAGTTCGGCCTCCAAGCATGTGCTTGCGGCGGCATAGAACATTGATGTACGTGCCTGGCAAGTCATCGAGCTCAGCATACTGGTGAAGCACAGCCTCAAATTGGCTGTCACTCTCGTACAGCCTCTTCGTGATGTCGCCCCGTATCAAAGCCTCAACAAGACTAGGATGCATGGCCGCAAGGTACAGTTTCGTTCTTGGATTTCTGTCCAAGGTGTCCCTTAAGATCTCTGTCCAGACGGGAGGGGCTGATCCACTACCGCGCTTCTGCTTCTCAGTCAGAGCGAGATTCCGAAGAGCGTCAGAGAGGCCCTGAATGCCTTGCACTCGCCATGCAGAATCATACTCCTGCGACTGTCTGCTGAGCAACTCGAGTTCATCCCACTTCGCCTTTTGGTTGACGTTCAGCGGTGTGCTCTGGTGTCGTTGCCCAATCCTAGCATGCAAAGCAACGGCCTCATCATGTACCTCTGCGATCGATTTGGATGAATCCATGACTACAAGGATCAATGAAGTACTCAAACATCCACAAGACTCCCAGCTACTGTGAGGTTCTTTGACGTTTTCGAGCACTGACAAGGGCAATGGCAAGGTAGAGATCTACTCACCTGGTCTCCAAACCATCAACCAGCCCTTCAACTCTATATGAGCCTCTCCGCCAACTGAGAGAATGCTCCGAGAAGAGAAAGCCACGTCGACGAATGGAGATCAGACACCTAAGCTCCAAGCAATGAACAACCCTGTCGACTCTCAATTGAAGTGTAGCAACTACGAGGTTATCGAAGAGGAGCAAGCAGCGTCAATGTAAAGTGATCGAATGCACGACCTCCAAACAATCAACAAGCTTTTGACGCTCGACAAGATCCCAGCAATTGTGGATCTTCGGATGGGAGCAAACAGCATCAATGCAAAGAGATCAACGAATCCCGCAACAAGACTCTCCACCCTCGACAAGTCTCCCAGACACAACCAGGATCCTTTGAGTGTATAAGAGTCAAGTATTTCAAGGTTTTCAACTCTCAACAAGTATCTCAGGCAGCCTCAAGATCCTTGGAGTGTTCAACTTTGAAGTATGTCAGAATTCTGGAGGAGATCGATGAGAAGAGACTTCGAAACATTGAGTGGTGAGGAATTTGCCGTGACATCTGCAACGGGAAGGAACGAGAGTCGCGAGGCATCCGACGCGTCGAAGCACAGCAGTGCATCGTGCATCGAATCCACTCATCCTCGCATACCGTCTTGTATTGAGAAACGAAATCTTTGAATCTGCCTTTTGTCGCTTACCGAGTGCCGCTATCCCCGACTGAGCCGTACTGGAGCTCCCTTTGTCGAAGGTGCTTCATGCGAGGAGAGTGAAGGCAGAATGGCACAATCCTATCAGGGAGAGGCAGCAACTGACTTCCATGTCTCTCCTTCTAGAAGATCGACTCTTTCCTACCCACCTCTGCCCAACGAGACCGACCATGTCGGACGGGTTGTGCCAACGCTGCATCACGATAATCTCGACTGTGCCCACTGAGGTCCAAACCTCAACTCCGTTCTCTTATCCGCCGGCTACATGGCTCAGCAGCCTACTGCGCCCGCCCCCCATCCTCTTTCACAAAGCGAATTGCTTAATGGCTTTCGGGGTGGAACTGTATAAGGTGTACATTGGACTCCGCAAGCAGGAACAATATATATACTCGGTCATGGATACGGATTGGAAGTCAGTCACTTGTGAAAAGGAGATGGGGTGTGGATCAACGACGTTTACAATCAATAGCACTATCAATCATTCAAGTGGTAGCTCGTTCGAGCACCATGCACCAGGCCTAAGCATACATTGAAGCCAACAAAGGTGTCACAGGTGCTTGTGGCTAGCCACAGATCCATGAAGTGACAGAAGCTGCTCTATCAGCAGTGAAGTAGCAACCATTCAACTGTCTTGACGAATTCTCCTTACAATTCAAGTCATTGCTTCACCCAGTCTTCAGTCGAACTTCGCTCTATACCGCCAGCCGTCTTCAATTGAGTCCGTTGATCCACCCTGCCTTCCATGGTGAAGTTGTCGATCTGGTCTCCTTCCCCGGTCCTATCATTCATGTCGCTGTCCTTCTATTCCTTCGCAAAGAGCTCGCTGCTCCCCCGAACGTTTGTATTGAATTTCCTGCCAGTGAATCGAAGCCTGGTCTGTTACCTCATGCCTTATTTGCATAGGCTTTTCCCCCCCCTCAATGACCTTGTGACGAAGCCGCTGCTTTGCCTCATCCTGGTAGCCATGTCAATGAAGTCACCGTTGCCTTCTTTGATTCCAGCAAGGTTGTCGCTCACCTAGCCTCTGCAGGAAGTCAGCGCTCCTCTCCCTGATATCCTCACCATGCCATTCTGTCTTTACACTAAGACCTATACCCCATCCTCGCACAGATTCATCGCTCAACTCATCTCTCCCTTGACCGTCATGAACCTATCCTCGCCTGCCATGCCATTTGACTGGAGTACCAAGATGGAAGAAGTAGTTCGGGAGACAGTCGAATTGCCAAACAACGCTGCAGTTCTGGGTTTCACCTTATGGGACTATTGCCTATATACACATAAGACACCAGGTTTAGCACATCAACTTGGTATTAATTCACTTGGCTCCCTCAAAAGGTATTTCTACCCCCGAGTACTGACGCCCTGCACAACGCGAAGGTGTGAATCGTCGCAGGACACCCTCATGGTAACGGCCCTTTACCACAAGGGGAGCTGAACTCCAAGCTTACTCCGGCCGCTCTCTCACAAGCCAGCTGGTGGTTCCGACTGCCACTTCCGTGACCCTGCCAGTTCCTGGGGCTCGCTCGATATATAGACAAAAGCCAATCGAGTCTGGCCTGCTGTGCACCGGACAATTCCCGCGTCGGAGTCCATCGCCAACTGTCACGAAGCCAGACTTGTTGCCGATCTCCATCAGGCAAGTGGCAGGACCCGGCTTTGCTCTTTGATTGCCAGAGGCAGCCCTCTCCAACAATTTCAGAAGTTCAGGAACCGAACCAGTCTTCTCAACCAGTGCAGACCAGCAGTCGCTCGACCGCTCGTTGGTCCAAGCCGCAGGGAACTCGATCATAGATCGTATACCCGCAATATCGCCGTCTTCGGCTGACAGTTCGCGTTGGGTATCCGGTGCAAGATTTGCTTCAGCCGCTTCCCGGGCAGCAGGCCTAGCAGCAACACTCTCGTCCAGTAGTTCACCATGCGTATGTTCCACGAGAGTCGACTCATCCGCTGTGATATTGGCAGGCACCAAGGCGCTGCTCTCAATTTGCACAAGTTGAGGTCTCTTGCTCGGACCTGCTTCGATGTCCTCGACACTTGAGCGCTTCCGGCTTGATTGGACAGTCACCTTTCCCGAGGTCTCCAACTGCCTGATGAGTCTCCTCAGATCAGTGTTCGACTCTTCAGTATTGGCTTTGACGACCAAAAGCTGTTGCTGGGTGTCATCGACACAGGCAAAGCTCTTCTCGACAGAATCTTGTACACTGCCGAAGCGGTCGAACAATATCCTGAAGCTCTCTGAAGTTTCAACGCGAAGGTCGCCGATCTCCTTATCAACCACTGCAGTGGCACCTTTGGCGCCCATAACTGCAGGGTGCAACAGATGGATGGCTCTCTCCGTCGCATCAAACCGACCTTCCAGCCGCTTTGCAGTGTGGTCCATCTGGAAAGTGATGATGCCCTCAACACTCTGCTGTGCGGCGAAAGCCCGCTCTGCTTCCTCGAGCTTGTTCTGCCTCTGCTGTAGCTCATCGGCAACCTCCTTCTGGTGGTTTGCAGACGCATCACTTCGAGCCTTGAAATTTCTCTGAAGCTCTTCAGCATCTGCAGCGAACTTTGCTGCTTTCGCAGTCTCCTGCTGGTATGCAACTCGCGCCGCACGCAGGTCTTCCAGGGAGCTTGTAAAGTTCTCAACCTGTGCCAGCATTGGTGCAACCTTTTCTGCTTCTGATGCAAGACTCTGCGAGACCTCCTGCAAGGTTTGAACCTGTTCTGCAAAAGGCCCCATACCCTCGCGCTGGAGAGGTTCGAGTTCGAACGCAAATCTCTGCACACCATCTTGCAGCAGCTTGATCCTGTCAGCCGAGCATTTCGAAGCATCTGCGTGCTCTCGCTTCGCGGACGCAAGTTGCCGCTCAAGATGCGCGATCTTCGAAGCTGCATTCGCAGCCCCATCACGCTGTGCTTGCTCGAAGTTTGCAGGAGAAGCATCCACTTCTGCTTGGAGCTTCGCCGCATCAGATTTGACCTTTTCGGCCTCAGCTGCGGCAGAATGCAATGACTCGACTTGATTCTCAAGATCTACGATCCTGGAAGCGGATTTTCCGGCCTCGTCTTGTCTGACTTGATCAACCATTGCACGAGCATCATTGACCTGAACTCGTAGCTCCGCGGCATCCGACTTGGCCATTTCGGCTTCATGTCGTGCATACTGCAGTTCATCGACCTTGGTTGCAAGATCTGTCTGAAGCTTTGCTGATGCAGCTTTGGCCTCTTCAGCCTCAACCGCCGCAACAGCTAATGGATATTCAAGATCATGAACGCGTTCGCTCTGATCCTCAACAGTCTTCTCATGCGTAGCCTGACACCTTACGGTCTCCTGCTTCGCACTCTCCACATCTTGCTTACAACGCTGCTCAAGTGACTGGGCTACATTGATTGCATTTGAAACTAGTATACTGGGACTCAAGCTTACGCTTCTCGTCCTCCATCTTCTTGCTCGCATTCTCCACGCTTTGCAAGCCGGAGCAAACATTCGCAGCCAAGTCATTAACCTGTCGCTTCATGGATGCTTCTGCCTCCTTGAACTCCTCCATTACCTGACTCAAGTGCGAGGACTTCAGAGCCGGCGGAGCGCTTTGCATGGTCTCGCTTGTGCCTTGCAGCCTTCGCAGAGATTCCATGGTAGCGTTGAGTTCGGTGGTGAAGGTGTCAAGCATGTTTTTGAAATCATTATTGAAAGCATCCATCTTGGATAGACAGAATAGATTCAACTGGTCACAAGACTCTCAACTCTCAGCAAGCCTCTGCACCCTCGACAAGCCCCTTGAATTACAACAAGTTCCCCAACCCTCGACGAGACTCAAACAAAGTTCAAGATTCCCGGAGTGTTCAAGGCCCCTGAAGTGATACAAGATGCTTGGAGTGTATGGAACTTTGCTAGGATGGTACAAGATTCTTGGGACAGATCCAAACGATGTGAATGCAGAGAGAAATCAAACTTGCAAGAGTTTTTGGAGTGGTATTTCTCACCCGCGGCGAATCCCGCGGCGTCGTGATAAGGAAGGCACCACAGCCCACACCCTTGACAAAGTCCTCTCTTACTAGATGGTAGTAACCACTGGAGGGACAATGTCCCAACCGATTCTGCATGCCGTTTTGCCTCCTGACAAGCATAGACTTGTTCGCCATCCCACTCAAGCTTTTACTCGAACGATATCTCAGCACGACGCCATGGGTCACCATCCTACGCTCATGGCATTTCCGGAGAAGACACTCGCCGCTTACTCTACAGTTCGCCCTGCAAGCCGCAACAAGCGATTCTTCTTCCACAGCACCGCAGTCGCTTCGCCACGTTGTGAAGCCGTCGACCAAGACCATATAAAATCGGGCCACCTCGCAAGTCACTCATATTTTGGCGCAGGAGCGGTATCACTTACATCTCGATAAGTGTCCGAGGGCCTAAGAGTCGCTTTGCCATTCTTCGTGGTCTTGGGTTATGCTAATGTCCGGCTCAGTAATACCGATGCGAACCTGCTTCCACATACTAGTATCGACCACTACCTTCTCTATCGTCTTCTAGTCTCCTTCTGCGTCCTCCTTCTGCGTCCTCCTTCTGCGTCCTCCTTCTGCGTCCTCCTTCTGCGTCCTCCTTCTGCGTCCTCCTTCTGCGTCCTCCTTCTGCGTCCTCCTTCTGCGTCCTCCTTCTGCGTCCTCCTTCTGCGTCCTCCTTCTGCGTCCTCCTTCTGCGTCCTCCTTCTGCGTCCCTCTACACCTCTTTCTCCGTGTTCTCATCCTTGAAAATCTGGAACATATACAAAGTGGGCTCACAAGCCCTGATAGTATTCGGTAGACTGGTTCCGATGCCGCCCCATCAAGTCACTAATATCCCCACTTCTTCTCAACCTTGTTCCTTGTGGATTCCGCGAGCTCCATTGTTCAGCTATCGTATCTACCACACCTTCGTCCAGTGTCTTTCTACTGGAGGCTGTTACACCATATGAGAGAACAGTTTTGGCTCATGTATAGATTAGGAATCTGGTTTCGGCGTATCACGCCAAAGGCAACCACCCGTACATCAAGTCCGCTTTGCACCAAGCATCTATCCTTTGCACTAAACAAGCCACCCACTTTCACCGGGTGGCCAATCTCACCTTGTACCAACATCGTTGTCCATTCATAAGCATGCCTGAGCACTTTCCTTTACTCCAATCTCCGCACCCAGTCATCGGTCAACTGCGAGCGAACATGTTGTCAGGAATACTGCTGCCGCAGACCGAATATACCCAGAACAGAAACACTTTGTGGTCCATCACTCCTTTGCTGCGAGGCCTAGGAGATAAAGAGAAGGGAGTGGTATCTATTGGATGACATGGAACATCGTGCTTCAGCATGCAGCCCCCTGAGCTGGTGGAACAAAAGGACGTCAATGGTGAAAGATCAAAGACTATCCTTGTTCAAGAGGTCTTTTCATAGCGTCGTTAGCCGGGAACACGAAGTAGCTGAGATGTTACAATCAACTCATTCTACCACTTCCATTCACTGCTTCTTTGTACACTTTCCTCCCCATAATCACCATCTCCTCCTGATCCACAGACCCCTGCCGTGATTTCGTGACCCATTCGGCCTTGCCACTCTTCCAGCTCACTTCCATTGCCTCCACCTCCATACCCTCCACTTCCATCTTCGCTCTCCCGTCTACATCTTCATATGCTTGATGGGACTCAAATGAAACGTGCAAAACCTTGCTTGTACGCCAAATAGACACTTACCTACTGGGTGGACTCATCTTAGCTTCACTGAGACTAGCAATTAGTCCAGCTACTGACACTCTGCACCACGAGAAGGTGTGAGTCCTTTGCAAAGCGCCCCTTCAACCCTCCTCCCATCCTCAATCTGAAGGGGCCCAAACCATTATGGAGCTTTGAATATAACCCTTTGCGGAGCTGCTGCGCGTTGTTCTTGCCTCTGGAACGCAGGCTCGAACATGCTCCACAGTCTCTGTATGTTCTCCGTAGTGACAGGCCAGGTGTGGGCGAAGTCACTTCCCTGCGTTGGGAAATCCCTGACACAAGACGGAACTCAACAACATACTTCATAGAGAAGGAATCAGGCCAGCAGACATGCACAGGTTCATCTGGCTCTGTATCATGGAGAATGATGAGACAATCTCCGTCGGTCAGAAGCTCATGGTCCCCAGCTGTGATGCTGCGTCCCTTAGATCGCCCATGAAAGGCAACCTTCTGGGAAAGCTACGATTCTTTCTCAAGGGTCAATTCGTCATCGAGCCAATCAGCAAGACCAGCAACCAGGACCGACTGCGACCGTAATCTGTCGATGACCGGTCGCATCTGCTCGAAGGCACTCCGCACGCGATGAAGCATCGTCTTCTTCCCTGCAAGATGTCGGTAGAAGAGCTCAATGCATCGAAGCAGGATCATCACGGCAGAGACATTAGACGAAGGTTCCCATACAGAGGTCAAGCTTTCCACCATCTTCTGGATGAAGATCTGCAGCAAGCCCAAAACCACTTGTACAGTCCCAACATCAGTCATGCCAGCGACAAGAGTATAGACGTCGTCCAGAGACACTTGCCCATCCTTGCGATGGCTCTGAGCGAAGAGCCAAAACATCTGCTCGCGACAAGGACGCCCTTGCAGAGAACTTTTAGCAAGCCCCGAAAGCGCCTTCAGCCAATCGACTGCTTTGCGCTCTAGATCGATCGCCTGCAATGCTTGTATGCTCTCCATTGCACCCAGCAGGTCTGGCTCCCCAGCAGCCCAGGCCCTGTGCATAGGAAAGAGTACGCTTCCATAGAGAAACCTTCGCAGGTTCTCCATCAGCTTTTCCAAGTCATCGAGGTCCTCAACAAACTCCTCGCCAGATGCTACTCGCCTTCGCTTCCGGTTTGGCATCATACTCGTAAGCTGGCTATCAAGCTGAGCGTCGGACTTCCTCTTGGTCGCCTGAAGACGTCCAAGGTCAGTCCTAAGCTGGTCGTTAACCTCACGCAAGGAGTCGCAATCCGCAGTGATACGGGAAACTCGATTTCCGAGTTCCTCGTTCTCACGAGTCGCAGCCTCCACACGCGCAGCAGCCTGCCCGAGTTCTTCGCCTTTCTGCCTCTGCAACGCCTCAAGCTGACGCTCAAGCACAGCATTGTCAGAAGCCTTCTGCCGTTGCTCTTTCAGAGCCTCATGCAGCGACACAGACTCAGCAATAGCGGCCTTCCAAGGAGTCGAAGCTTCATCTTCAAGCTCAGAGATCCTGCGATCACGCTTCGAAACCTCTGCTTGACTCTCAAGCAGCTGCTCCCTGAGCATCAGGTTTTGCACTTCCACCAGCATCAGCTTTCGCTTCAACTCCGGAATCTCAACGCCGCAGTATTGCTGCTTCAGCTTGTCAGACTCGGAAAGACGCTGTGCAAAGCCATCACGCTCCTTCTCGGCCTGCTCAACAAGCTGCTTCAGAGAAGAGATTGTGCTCCCCTGAATTGCTCCCAGCTACTTTGCAGTCGCATGGGACGTAGTCTTCAGGATGTCGAGCTCCGTTCCCAAGGCCTTCGACGACTCCATGGCACTCATCCGTGCCTTATCGGCCTCAGGAGAGTGCTGCAGTAAGTATCGCCAGATTCAGAATCACGACGAGCATCTATCGCTTCAGAGATGTCTACAGTCAACGCCGCAACTTTGATTCAGCGTCGAGCCGAGCTCGCTGAGCATCGGACAAATCTACAGTCAACGCCGCCACTTTGGACTCAGCGTCGAAACGTGCGTCATCTGCAACTTCCTGTGTCTTTTGAGCATCAGAGAGCCTTGCAGTCAACGTCACAGCCTCAGGTTCCGCAAGCATTTTCGCTCGCTGGGTGTCAGAGAGTTTTGCAGCAAGCTCAGCACGAGTTTCAGCGTGTCTGTCAGGGAGGGCCACAACTTCGGCCGCAACATTGCCATGTTCCTGAGCTGCCCTCGCCGCAGCCTTTTGGGCCACAGCAAGATTAGCAGTCAAGTCCATTACCTTGGCGTAAGCCTCGGCAAGAGTGTCATTCTCAGAGAGTAGACCCTCGATGGCATTGTGCTGAACCTGGATTGCGGCTTCAAACTGATCAAGACGGGGCTTCAATCTCCTGATCTCATCGAGACCCTCGCCGATAGACATATCGAGATCACGGTTCTGACCCTTGTAGGCCGATTCAACGCGTTCAAACATGCCTGGAGCTTCATCACACAAGGCAACAATGCTGTCAATAACATTGCTCGTCTCATTGTCAACAACAAGGGGACTCTCAGCATGTTCCACCACACTTTGCAGTGAATTGAGCTCCTCCACAACCGCTTTCTGACGCTCATTCAACTCCTCAACCTCGCTCTCTTTCAGAAGCCGCCCAACGCGGATTGCACCACGTGAGCCGAAACCAAGAGGCAACTATTTGAGGGTATCTCTTTTCATCCTCGCCATGCCATTGTGCTCGTTCTCTGCCTCTCTCAGCTTCTGCTGGGAAGTAGTCGGAGGTTGGGCCAGGATTTCAGGTGAGTATGGTGGAGAGACAGTAGAATGTGGAGATCGGATACGACTTGGGAAAATTGTCAAGGGTGGACCGCACTTCGTCATCTCCTGGCACCGCAGAAGCAGAACACAGATTACCGCACCCAGCACTTGTATATGCTTAAGTTCAATCCATTCATAGAGCGGAAACAATGTTCATATTGCCTACATCTTTGGAAACTACTGAGGGTTATACTTCCAGCGTCCACTCAAGACTCCACCAAGCAAACCAGTCTAAAGCCTCCATCTCTTCCAAAGACAACTCTACTCTTCCTGCATCCACGCCTTTTGACTGACATATACGTACTCCATCCTTCGCCGTGCCTTTCAATTGCCCCCCTCGTCATGTCCTTTGATCGACCGTCCTACTCGTCCTGCGTCCTGCGTCATATCCTTTGATCGACCGTCCTACTCATCCTGCGTCCTGCGTCCTGTCCTTTGATCGACCGTCCTACCCGACCTGCGTCATACGTCCCACATTCTTTCTTTTGATCGACTATCCTACTTGTCCTGCGTCCCAAATCCTGGTCTTTAATCGATTATCCTACTCATCTGTGTGTCCCTTGCCCGAGAGTCGTACTTGTCCTGCGTCCTTTGTTCTTTCTTTCAATCGTCCTACAGTAAAGAGTCAAAATGGTCCAAAGATGAAGATGTCACAATCCGCGAAACACATTACAAGAAGTCTGTCGAAATTCGCTTCTTCTAAACATCAAAATCATCAGCTCCAGAAAGTAGTCGTACAAAGAGAAATGATTTAAAGAATCAAACAACGTCTCTTGTAGTTCTTCTATCACATCTACATCTAGTCTCGCTTGTGAATGTTAGAGGTAGTAGCAAACAGCGTACAGAGGTGCCAATTCACTTGATTAAGTTGCTCCTATCAAGAGGAGCATTTGCTCATACTAATAGCTAGAGAAGCGCATTACTGTAACAGCTCAGAAACAGCATTTGGCGTTCAATTCGTATAGCAATGCTCACTGCCATAAATAACAGGGCGTAACAGTTACAAGAGCGTTTCGTGCGTTTTGCATGCGGGGACCCTTGTACCATCATGCTAATACGTAACAGATACGTATCATATACGCAGGGATTCTGACAGTGAATACTTATCTGTTGCCGACTCTATCAATAAACCCTAACTCACTTAATAGTAACCTCCTTACGTATCTGGTCTCGTCTAAACTTAACCTCTTCTCACCCTTCTTACGCTTGGTATTGAGTTTGATATGGAGGAGGATATGAAGAAGAATATGGAGGAGAAGTATATCCTTCTTGATATCCTTCTTGACATCCTCCTCCTCTTGAGGTCCTCCTGTTTGAGATTCTTCTTAAAGCTCTGTCTACGTTCGAACGTTTCTTACAATTCAACACCATGGTTTTCTATCTCAAAATTTCAGCAGTAAGATCACAAGAGAGTCTATTTTGCTATCCAGGCAAGTTTAAGCATTCTACCTACTATAATTCCGCTCTGCTAGAAGGAACAGGTCCACTAATGTTTAGGTTCATTCTCACGTGCAATACTACTAGTTAGACTCTAACGGATTTTGTCGGCTTTGAGCGTAGTGTAGGAATGGAAATATTAAGTTATCATGTGCTGAGGAATATTGAGAAGGTAGACAAGATATCTCGAAACAAGGGCTCACTTATAGGAGGTATATATTGTAGTTATAACGAAAGATATGTCAACAGCTCGTGTAGCTCGTGGTAGAGCGCTGCCTGTACATAATGTGATCAAGTTGGATGTCAATATTGAATCCGTTTGACGGCGGAAATCCACCATTATCCTTCAATCACAGTACAAGAGGCAGAGGTCCTAGGTTCGAATCCTAGCATGCGCATTTCTTTTTTTAATACGTCTCTTCAATACGTCGTAACATACCAGTTTCCAGTCCATAAACACTCAAGTACGTCCCTCATACTCTTGCTGCAAGTACCTGCGTAGCTTGTCCACGGGTGGAGTGTAGACTTTCTTTCCATGCAAGATGTAATATATCGTAGCGAAGATGACCACGAATCCATATATTAAGCAACCCCAATTCATAGTTTTTGGTTCCACCGGAGTGACCGGGGGAAAGAAGCCCCAGAACCAAAACACCACAAGGAAGCAAAGACTTGCAAGGTTGATAGCCAGTCCATAGGGGCCCAGTGACCATGGTCGGAGAGGAAGCGGCTCTCCACTGAGACGCTTCATCACAAGAGAGCCAATGGCGATTATGTATGAAGTCAAACCACTGCCGGTGCTAATTGTGAACATGGCGCTGAGGGCAGTGGTGGACCCGAGATTGATAAGGGAAAGCAGGATGCTTACGACTATAGAGATAATGACGGCATTGACAGGAACGTTCCATCCGGGAGAGACCTGCGACTGTTAGCCGGGTCTTGACTTTGGACTACAAGCTTACTCGAGAAATAACATCCGAGAAAGGCACTCCATTATCCCGAGCAAAAGACCAAATTTGTCGGGAAGCTGTAGCAGTAACGGCGATTGTACTTGCAAGTAATGTAAGAATGATGATTACCGTCATGACAACAGTTCCGGCTAGACTTCGGGTCGAATTGTAGAAGACTTCAATAAAGGGATAGAGTGTGGGAGTCTGGCGGATCTGCTCCATGTCGCCCCAAGTGAAAATTATGGTGATCACAATGGCAAAGCCCATCGCCGCATTGAGAGCCGTAGAAAACATAAGCGTTCTCGGTAATGTTATTGCGGCGTTAGTGGTCTCCTCACCTAAATAGGTTAGACGGGGTAGAGGAGAAGCCAGGCTACACTTACACATATGCACAGTGCTGTCAAACCCGTTGAGCGTTACCACTATCGCATTCAGACCGACCATAAAAGACACCCCCTTAGTAGGCCAACCACCGTTGTTGGTGAACTCGGTAAAGGCCGCCTTTGCGTTGTTTCTGGGTGCAAGAACCAAGAGAGGTATCATAATGGCAAACAAGCCCACAATATGCAACATCAACAGCATGCCCTCCACAAAAGGCAGCTTCCTCGCTAGGAAGGTGTTAAAAATAACGGTGAAGCAGACGACGCCAATAACAATCATTGTTCCGTGCCAAGCTTGTGCTTGATAAGTGGGAACGCAGAGAGTGATCAGCCCCTGCATAATGGTTCCCACGAGAAAGCCGGTTCCGCAAACGCCAGCTTGCCATCCAAGAAAGCACAGCCATCCTGAAATATTTATGAGAATCGATATAGATCCGAGTGGTGGAGATCTTACCAGTTAGATAGCTCAGGTAACGCTGACAGCTTCGGGGAGCGAATTCTGAGACCCAGTGATACTGACCGCCAGAAGTTGGAGCCCTGTATCGGTATTGTTAGCGAACATCATGAGCTTCAAGCCAACGAGAGAGTAGAAGCTTACATGGAGGCCATTTCGGCCAAGCTGGCGTACACCAGGAAGTATGCAATCACCACTAAAATGTAACCCCAAAAGAGACCAGCAGTGCCTCCATTGGTGAGGGAGCTCGTGACTGAACCACTGTATGTGTTAGTATTGGTCTCGTGAGTCTGTGAGTGTAACGTACGCAAGGACAAACTCCCAAGTACAGATCAGAGTTGAGCCAAACCCGACAATGGCCATGAACCCGAAGTTGCGCTATGTGACAGCCTATGTCAGCGACTTGCCATCGAGGAGAGGAGAGGGTTCAAACCCGTAATTCCTGCACTCTACCAAGAACTTTCATGTCATGTCGATCCGTGATGGTGCCTCGATGCTTCTCAGCGACCGTGGCCTCGACCATTGTTTCCATTTCATAGGTTTTGGCGTCATCGTCCACATAGGTGGTGGTTTTCTCGCCGAAGCTCGCCATTGTCGATAGATAGAGGGAAGTCGTTGCGATAACGATCGAGGAGGGGAAAAGTATTCGAAAGATATGGCCGAGAGGATCAGGCTGGGGAAAGACCTCCACCTGCATTGATCGTCCTTTGCTTCCCCATTCGACCCCTCAGCTCATGCATTGTTCGTTTAGTTAAATGACCGAGCTGGTCTGATTTGACTGTTGACGCGGCTAACTGATAACAAACGAGCGAAGGATGTTTTGGACGAAGAAGGAGCCGAAGACGCCGCACAGGTACAGGACACCACTGTGGTGCCACTAAGAGTGGTGAAGCTGTACCCCAGAACTTTTACGTACTTCGTATCATCCTAAATTTCCACTCACCCATCACAGATTGACAGTGCGCCACGGCGTAACAGTGCTACTGACACTAAGGGCGCCAATTGAGTCCAATCATGCTTAGCAGGGCTCCATTTTAGCTTCCATCCTTCCCCGGCGGCGTTCCGGCTGTCTCCCACGTTCTCCCCGGCGCCGCTCCTTGGTTATCTGGTACATCCCCGGCGGTGCGGGCCTCGTCGCCGTCCCCAGGCCCAAGGCCGGTGACAGATTTCGTGACTTGCTCTGCTCGCTAGGAGTCGTCTAAACAGATACTATTTGACTGGGCCAATCACGCCAAGATTTACGCTGATTTTGTGACGCCAGCCTCAAGGCAACCCTTCTCGAAATATTACGCCTCATATCAGGCCATCAAACTTTCTTCGAACCAAAGCGGCGAACCCTGGTCATTGTGACTGGGTGAGTTCAGAGCTGAGTATCCTTCCAAGCTATTCCTTATTTGTTCTGTTCAATCCCTTCATGTGATGGCTACAATCACAGCTTTATCAATGACTTCCATCCCCTACCATGGCCCATCAACGAGCCTGACGATGAAAACCTCTCACTTATACTCTCGCCACCACTACCTCCAATGTCCTCTCTTTCGTTGCCACCAGGATACTCTCCTCCAAGCACGGTCGTGACTGATAGCGACCATGGCGGTTGGCTCACCATTACCAATGGAGTGATGCTTTGCAATGTACTACTCTTCCTTGGAGTGAGACTGTACATTCGCTTTGGGGTCAGCCCTCCGTTCCGTCATGATGATACAATGTTCTGTCTTGCCACTGTATGACCAAGAATGCTGCTCACAAATCAAGACTTACAAAGAGCAGGCCTTGTTCGTGATTCAATCTGGCCTAATTTTTCTCCATGTTTCAAATGGATTTGGAAAATCAAGGGAGTTGGTTCAATCCGAGGATCTTGTCCAGATCCAAAAGGTACTTAGTCTCCCTGGTTTCACATTGATATTCTGACTTTCCATAGTTGGGTTACACCAGCGACATCCTCTATCTCCTGGATCTTTTTCTGATCAAGTGCTGTGTCTGCCTTCTTCTCCTCCGCTTAACGTCAAACAAAACCCATGTACGATTTTTCCAAGCATTGCTGGGATTCACAACACTATGGATGGTTGTCTCTGTCTTTCTGGTTGCCCTACGATGTAATCTGGTGCAGCCTTGGATCCAATATGATGTTCGGTGCTCAGGCCTCGTAAGAATGCTGACTCCCTTGGATCGACCATACTCTATCTCTAACTTTGTACCAGTTAGCAAGGTGGATCTTTATTACAGTTTCGAACATCCTCGTCGAGGTAGCGCTGTTTCTCGGAGCGGTTCTATTGGTCTTCCCCCTCCAAATGGCAAGGCAGAAAAAGACAACTGTTATGATGGTTTTTGGTTGTCGCCTACCGTAAGCTTCTACCGATGACCCTATGCCTTTAGTTTATTCGTACAGTGCTGACTGCCAGTGCAGACTCATTGCGATCACCGTGCTCCGCCTCAAGTATCTCACCGCTGGCCTTCGGTCTTCCGACCCTACCCTTGACGACCTACCTACGGTTCTCGCGACCCAGGTAGAGCTCGGATGGAGTCTTATCTCTGCCACTGTTCCCTGTATTAATCCCTTCATAAGAGCCGTCAGCACAAGGTATGGAGCTATGGATTCAGAGACCATGATGGACGGTAACCACATGTACGATACGCGCAAACCAAAAGGCGCTCACAGCAGCTATGGGCTTCGATCCATCTTTTCCAGGAAGAACGCCCTTAATTTCAAGCAATCCGAGAAACCGGTCACTTCTGTACACTCCGGTCGCCGCGAATCAGCAGCGCAGGAAATCATCATCCACGCAGAAGGAAAGGATTATGACAGAGACGCAAGAAGTCCGCAGATCTACCGTGGCGATCATTCTTCGAACACCGCGCGAGTCTTCTCGGAAGGCCGTGTCGACGCTGACAGTGTTGATGAAGAGAGCAATGACAGCACCAAGATGATCATCAAGAAAGAGGTGCAGTGGTTCGTGGAAAGCGACAAGAATACCGTCTCCACTGTGAATACTGGTGGTGCTTCGTTGGAAATGGCGGATCAGACCACCAAGGCTTCCACGGAGCTTTGATACTTGTTGAGTTGTGATATCTCATTTGGGATACACTTGGGAATGGGGGTTAACTAACGTGACCCCGCGGCCGTAGTTGGGACCAGGAAGGCATTTGGAAAATTGTAGTATAGATAGATTGATTTGGGTATCTTGTCTTGTCGGTATTCTAGCGATAGAAAAGGGATGCGATATCTTTTCAGATTTGATGTATGTAAACAGCGCGCTCCACCTCAAAGCAATGGAGGCATGATTGGGGATTGTTGGATACAGCGATGGGGGATGACGATAATTTTTCCGCTTCACACTGGGCCAACCTATCGAAATAAATAGACACAACACAGAAAGAGATGATAGTAAGGGTATGGCATTCAACGCGTGATACAGGTGGCTTGTGGTCCCATCCAGCTCAATGCCTGACTACCAGTTCCGTCTTTGAGCTTATTTTGCACTAGTCAAACCCCATATATCGTTTTCAGGGGTCAACAGCTCGCACCTATCAATATCACCTCGTGAACGTACCGTAGAACTCCTCACAAACTCGACATTGGTCTTGACCTTAATCCCTGTCATCGGTAACGGCTTCCCATCTCTATCAAGTCCCATATTTTCAGGTGCCACTCCACGATACACCTCATTCACAACCCTTGGATCTCCTAAACCGGGGTGCAGAAGCTCCCTCCTCTCCTGGTAACTGTCTCTAATGCGCGTAGGAGGCGGGAAGGGTAGGATCTCTGTTCTGACAATCGTATCGAGGCCATAGCTAGGAGGGTACTCAGAGGCTGGAAGCTTCTCATGAAGAGTGGCTTCAGAGTCTTCGGAATACCGGGTTTCGTGGCCGGTGTTCTTCACATCGAGCCATCCCGACCTAGTGTCATAGTGGGACTGAGAACTTTCGAGTTGCTGTTCGGCAATAGGGTATTGCTTTTGGGATATGTTGAGTCTAAAGAGTGGTGCGATGACTGGAAAGCAAGCGCATAAGAGTCCGACGCCAGCTTCGATGGCAGTCCAATTGTAGAATGTGCTCATTTGCCCTAATAGAAGTCAGCGATTCCCTGGCTCTGTGGAGGAGGTACTTACAGGTGATATCTGTGCTGTTGCCTATGCCATTGAATGCCATAGCAAACCTGACCAGCCCAGCGGCACATGCCCTACTTTAGTCAGTATTGTGTATTGATCGCCGCAGCCGACTTACAAGGTGCCGATCAGGAAGATAGCAATAAATCCTATCTTGCGGTTGAGGTTCATCTTCAACTTTCCCATTGCAACGGCAGGGATGATAAGAAGTGCGAAATCAGCCAGCGAGTTGAGGGCACAGAAGGCTTGTTCTGGGACGTCGACGGAAAGAGTGCATCTGCCCTTGACAAGACCTTGGATGCCAGCTGGTGAATATTGAAGCCATAAGTAGTTGAGTGGACGACTAGGAGGGTCAGTTTGAGAAAACCCATCTTGAAAATATTCACCATTGAGTGACCTCTAGGATGAAGAGCGAAAGCGTCCAAGACGTGACATATATCCCAATAGTCCAGAAGGTGAACCTGAACCATCGCTTCTGCATACCAAAGATACGGCGATAGAGAAGGAGAATGGACCATTTCACGAAAAAGTGGACCCATGCATATGCAATCGAGCTGAAGAAGCCAAGCTGTGAAAGTCAGAATACTCCATCGTATGTTTGGCCATAGGCTTACTTTCAACACTATATATACAGTTGCCGCGTTCACAGCAATGGCATGTCTTCCAACACCATGATTGGCAGCTGGGAATGGTCAGGTCTCGCTGGAATGTCTGGATCGAATGACGTACACAGGATATTGAGCACACAGAGGAGTATCACAGCGACCTATTGGTGATCAGCGCGATGGACCAGCTAATGTACGAGGACACATACCAGAGCAGAAAGTGTGAAGTAGTCATCGAGATTCAGCGGTAACTTTTTTAGATACCTCGCCAGGAACCTTAATGCGACCACGATGGTAGGGAAAGCGATAAAGAATATGGCACAACCAATCACTGTGGGACCTTTATCATCAGCTATGTAAGCCTGTTGGTAGGCGAATTCCTCCGCGATGTTGAACGACATCTAGACCAGTCACTACGGATGGTGAATCATGAGAAAAGACGAGCAGGACCCTTCACATGAAGGAAATGAGGGGCATCGGACAGCTTTTGATGAGAAGCTCACATTGTGTAGAAGCTTGCATTTGGCCCCATGAACATTGGCATGTGGCGTGGCAGCTCCAGCACGATAGACGCGTTCAATCTTGTTCTTGTTAGTTGTACACATGGTTGCCATGTGTTGTTGCAGGCAGATAAGTCGTGTTGCAACGTCGGAACTGGTAGCTGTTACACGGAAGGATGCAGAAGGGTACAGGCATCCAGGATTGGTATGTGGTGCATTCGCCTATGTGGACTAACTAGTTAGTACATGACCAATGCGGCCTGGGGAAGTTCAGCCTTGCAGATCTCCTGAAGTAACTTGATGCAGATGTGAACATTGGAATCCAGACTTGGTCCAACATGCGAACTGTAATTTACAATATCCTTGAACGGCGAATACTGTGAACAGAAACACTATGTCATAGATACCTGAATTGTGGAGTCTCTTCATGACTCTGTAGACTACTTCCGTCTTTCCCACCTGGAGACTGATGACAGCGTAAGCGCTTTGACCTAGCTTAGACTAAGTCATCGGAAAATCCAGGGGTCAAGTGGCCAGCCCTTGTCCATTTGGGGCAACGTAGGATAGTTACAGCTGTACGGAGCAGGCCAGCGAGAAGGACATACCCAGGCTAGGCTGCTCTTATTTTGGAGAAGCGTGCTGATGTTCCCTACAAATTCCCGTGAGACAATAGTCGCAGTTCCTCAATTGGTGGGTCAGGGCACCAAGAATGCATCTCATACAGCAAACAGGTAAGACACGGCGGCATCCCTTGAGGACCTCATTTGCCACTGGCAATCCTGTACCTAGAAACAATGTGGGATACTAGGATTTTAGTACATGCATTTGGGGTCCTTAAATTTTGTACAACGTGAGCACGAGGAATGGGTTACACGAAAACGGACCTGCGCAATTGAGGCGCCCTCAGCTTCGACCATTTCTGTCCGCAATTGTCATGGCAATCACCAGCTGGATTATGTTTTTTGACATTTCTACAACAACCTAGCTGACAGATTATCCTTTCCGTCAAACCTTTACTTCGGAAGTAGTATTATGGTGTTTTGCTGGTTGAAGCTCATATCCAGTTGCTCCACCCGGCAATACTCTCAACCAGATACATAAACTGAGTTAGTCGCTCAAAGTCAGCGCAACAGTCTCGTTCATAGATAGACACGAAGCAACGATCTTGCTTCGTTGAGCTCTTGCTTGTGAAGGCACTCGCACCAGTCGAAGCCAGATGATTTTTGATCAGATACTGGGCAACTTTGCGCCAGCTTTTGGGTGGAGCGTTGTTGATGGAATGCGAGGACTACTTTGTCAGAGCAAAGATGACAGCACTGAATTGATGAGCATATGAGGTGAGGCCGAGTGTGACACATACTGCTAATCCACTTCATCGGCCAACAAAAAAGTGGGGTCATGAAGCATAAGGACGCGCAGCAACTATTTCCAGGACGTAAGCTTCTCACTGGTCCTGAAAATTGCTGGCTATACTTGCAAGGGAGAAATTAACGGTTCACACCACTCTTGTGCTTCACAGCGCTCCGGCAAGCACTTGTTTCGGAGGAACCACCCAAGAGCATGGAGCCAATTCATCAAACCATAGGCGAAGATCCAAGAATATTTCCACTCGTTAGAGGATCAAGATTGAAAGCCTAAACGTGGACTAAGCAACATTGACGAATGTTCTTTTCTTAACTTCGGTGGTCGTGCTCGCATTGGTCATGTCGTAGTCAACATACTCGTTCTCGCCGATTTGTGCCACTCGCCTCCCCGCAATTTTCAGTCCTGCAAGATTGAAACCCATTTCGGCTTTTTGTGCCTGCAGGATCACCTGCAGATTCCGCCGCACATCCTCCAACAACGGCCGCATAAGTCGAGAGCTCACCAGCTGTCTTTGGTGAGTGTTGAGTACGAAAAACAGGATTCGACATGTTAGCGAAACGTTTCGTCCTTCGCTCGCCCACAAAGACAGAAACGTGAAAAGCGCGGGGAGTTGAGAGAAAGATAGAACTAACAGCGCATCTTGCAGCGAAGCGGAAGGTATGCGTTGGAATATTTTTAGGACATAAGCGGAAGCGGGAATATCGTTATTGGCCAGGAAGACAGGATGCCGTGAAGGTATGGCTGCTTTTGAATTGAAAGATTTTGCTCTTTGATGTTCTCGCATCAACTCCAGATCTTCCATTCCCAGTTCAAGCGCTTCGGCGATCTTTTCTCCTGCCATCAAAGTTTCCACGGTCTGTTTTCCCGCAGCGACAACTTGATCCTCTCCAGCCGCTTCTTGATCGTCCTGCTCAAGGGATGTGAGAAGGGTGTTTTCATACAATTCTTCGAGCTCCTTTTCACGTTCCTCCTCGAGAAAGATCTGTTCATCAGTCTGTTGCCACACGCGAATGCTTTTGTCGTGACTTGCTGAGACTAAAAATTCACCAGAATGAGCAATAGCCATGGCCCAGATTTCTCCATGATGACCACTCAATCTTTGGATCTGCTCAAATTTGTCACCATCGTAGTATTTGATTGTCTTGTCCTTTGAAGCTGAAAAGAAATGATGGCCATTCCCTTCGTTGTTGTTTGGGACAAATGCGACGGACATAATGCTATCTTGGTGGGCAAACAATGCTTTATGACAATCACCAAAATCGAGCCCCCAGATCCTTAAATTCTTGTCAGCACTTGACGTAACAATAAGCTTGCTGTCGTAGCTGATGTCCATGGCCAATACGGGAAGCTTGTGGCCGTACAGGGTCAGAAAAAGCTTGAGGGTATCAATGAAGAACACTTTGACTGTGCTGTCGAGAGTGCTGACGGCGAGCAAACGAGCATCGGGTGAGAAACGAATAGCAAGTATATCCTCTGTAAGCTTCAGGGTCCGGGTATGTACTAGGGTCAGCTTTGCAATCTTCCTTGTGGTCCCGAGGACTTCCTCTTGAACAACTCGAAACTCCCAGAATTTGGCTGACTTGTCAGCTGAGCCGGTCACAAGCGACTTACCATCGGGATGAACTTGCAGGGACCATATGTCGCGGTCATGGGCCTTCATCGTCTCAAGTAAAGTCGAAGAAGCAATGTCAAATATCTCAAGCGTGCCATCGCGAGTGCCAATGACGACAACCTTGTCGCCAGGGAGGAACGCGGCGCACAGGGCATATCCGCAATCTAATGTTCGGATACAGCTCTGCGTCCTGATGTTCCAGATCTTCAAGCTCCCATGGGATGCTGACGCAATCATCCTATCATCCGAGCTCAGAGACAAGCATCGTATATCTGTCCGATGCCCGGGCATGTCGACGGAAAACGTTCGACTATATTCTGGCTGTTCTTCCCTCTTGGACTTCATTTCCATATGAACAACACTGTAGACTTCTAGCTGATTGGTTGTAGTCCCCAACAAGATTGAAACCGACTTTCCAGCCTTCCCGCCTGCCCAATCCATTGACCGTACCTTACCCCCTGTTCGGACAATCACGTATGGGACGAAGACCTCCGTGACCAGTGCGGTGGACACTTCGTCTGGTTTGTCATCGACTTCCATATGTGCGTTTCCATTGTCGTCTGTCGTTACCCTCTCACGTCTTCTTTTCTTCTTTCTTGCCAGGGTCTTCGATATCTCACCTTCTGACCTAATGCGCCATAGTTCGACGGCCTTCTCGGATCCATGGAAAGCCACCAGGTCTCGCTGAGGATGGAATAAGACACCAGTTGTTCGATCTTTACCATGCCTGTAGAATGAGCCACGATCTCTCAGGACATTATCCGACGGGTCGCTGGAAGCGGATTTGAGTCTCGTGCTATCGATGGACCATACCCTCAACTCTCCATCATTGCCGGCGGTAATGCAACCGCTGTGATCTGGTGACAATCCTAGACTCCAGCATTCTCCATTACTTTGGGCGATATGAGTCTCGATACAGAACTGGGTTGAAAGATCCCATAACTTGACCAGGGCATCTTTACTTGTCGAGATGAGAAACCCCAACCCATCATCTCTGCCATTCGTGGCTCCATTAGCAGTCCTGTCTTCAAGGTCTAACGGCTTCTGTAAGAAATTGAGCGATGTGATCTGATCTTTATGTCCTTTGAGTCTGAACAAGCCCACCTCAGCGATGAGATCCCATAGTATTATGTTTGTATCCCTCGAACCACTTGCCAGTCGCACCCCAGAATCGTCGAACCGAAGATGGGTTACTGCTGATTTATGGCCGTTGAACGTTACGATGACCGTACCTGTCCTCGAGTCCCATATTCGAATTCTTCCGTCGTCGTAGCCCACAGCGAATACATCAGCATCGATCTGGCTCTGACATACACTGGTCACTTGTGCACTATTATTGCTTTCTGACCATCGACCTAGAACTTCTCCTTTCTTGATATCCCAGCACAAAACATCTTCATTGGCACCAACGATCGCCTTCCCGGCAGAGGAGGAGTTGGTAGTATTAGTGGATGATTGATCGGCGACCCACAGAGCGTTCGACGCGATCGAATAGATCTGACCAAAGGTTTTGGAATGATCAAACTTGCTATGTCAGTCAGAGGATATTCATGCTGATTGACAGACCACTACAAAACTCACAGGTATGATTTGACCATTTTGTAGTTGTCAAATAGCTTGACTCGCCGAAACTGTGCACTGTTTTCTGCTTTCTATGCCGCCGCGGAATTGTCCCGCACTGGCAAGGGACTGGAGGACCAAAAACCCTACGTTATTTAGTATTAAGACACGAGCAGGTCAAGCTTCCCCAATACTACAAGTAATTACCACGAAACCAAACAGCCATTCGAAATTGATTCTTCAAATGAGATCTAAGTTCAAAGCCAGTTGGTGTAATTTGTTTAGCACCATATCAAAGAAAATGAAAGACGGACAAGACAGGTCAGTCACGACGGCACCATCAGTTATTGTCAACCTGCTGTGCAGAGTGCGTAG